AACTAAATAAGAGAAAAACAGAAGGTCTCTGGGTCGGAAAGTGGAAAAAACGTCGAAAAAAAATTGGTAATATTAGTTGGCCGATTGAACCAATTAAATCGTTAGGTGTGTATTTTAGCACAAGTGAATCAGATACAACCAAACTTAATTTAGAAGGAAAATTAAAATCAATTGAAAACGTCCTTAATCTTTGGATTACTAGGAATTTAACTATCTATGGGAAGGTGGTGATTATTAAAACCATGGCTGCTGCTAAACTTACATATGTCATGAATGTTTGCACAAACGACTTCCTTATTAACCTTGATAGACTGTTTGCTAAGTTTATCTGGGGATCCAAAATCGATCGCATTAAGCGTGGTACTATTATTGGTGAATACAACCAGGGGGGCTTGAATGCATTGGGCATTTTTTCACAATGCAAAGCTCTAAAAGCATTCTGGGTAAATCGTTTAACAGACGAGCCTGTTAATGTGAATGTACCGTCATGGAAACTAATCCCATTATATTATTTATATAAGGATGGTATTGCTAAAACAATCTTCAATATGAATTTCTCAAAACCAGGTGATTGTGGTTGCTTAAATTCGATACTTCCTTTCTACAAAGATGTGATCTTGTGTTGGCATGAATGTGAAGCAAGCACTATTACGAATGTATCAGACGCGCAAATTGCCCTTAATCAAATTATTTGGTGTAATCAAAATATTGTATGTGATGGGAAAACACTTTTCTTCCGTCACTGGCTGGAAGCTGGTTTGATCTATATAAAAGATGTGATCAGCCATCAGAATATAAAATGAGAAATCGTCACGAATTTGACAACCAACGTAGACTGGTAAGGGAAGTTTTTATGTTTATAACGCTATTCCACTTAAATGGAAAATGCTAATTAAACACAAGAACCCCAGTTATTTCAAGCAGCTGATGACCAGCAACAAGAAACTGCTCATCTATTATAGAATTACAATACAATTAAAAAAATAACAGTAAAACAGTATTACAAGACACTAGTTAAAAAAAAGTTTATTGTACCTTGGGTAAACGAAATGTGGGAAAAAAAATACAAGCTAAATGTTTGTTGGGTCAAAGTATGGGTTGAAAGGACAATCAAAATTACCCAAGAGCGCAGATTATCAGCCTTTATGTACAAATTCCTGCATTGTATTTTACCAAACAATGATAAACTGTTTAAATGGCAGAAGACAGACTGCAAACTATGTCGTATCTGTAATTACACAGAAACGCAATACCATATGTTTTGGGAATGTACACGTCTATGCAATTATTGGGCATGTGTGGAAGAGTTTATTAATAGCAATACTAACTATGCGGTTTCTTTAACATTTGATGATCTTGTTGCTGGTGTATCAAACACAGACACATGTGTCAATCATATTATTGTAATTGCAATGTTCTCTATCTATAAATCCTGGTATGTTTGCCAGAGCAAGTCTATAAGCACATTCAATTTTTTTAATTGTTTTTCATTATTTAAATCAGAGCTCGTGTTTAGAATTAACATTGAACACGAAATTAATAAGCATAAAGCTAAATTAAAATGGGGAAGACTAGTTGAACTGGAATCCTCTCTCAATTAATAATAAAAAAAAGGTCTCAGTTGATTACAATGTAGCCACATTACTTAAGCGAATATTTTTTGTAATTATAATATATAATATTAACAGATACTATATGTATTATTTAAATAGATGATTATGATTGTAACTTTATGTAATATTAACAAATAAAAAAAATATATAATTGCAAATAAATCACTTGGCAGAACGATCGTAATCTCTCGACAGTCTATCGTCTTCAAGAAAAATCCAATGATATCTGAAAATGTGGACAATACCACCTAATCGCTTAGTTAGCGAGTTGGCGATTTAAAAATAGTGGCAATACCGGATGCATCTATGCAATGTACGTCACATAGATGGTCCTCACAAATCTTGAAGCAAATTGTAAAAACAGATAATGTAGATGTTACACGGTTGTCATTGGTTACTTACATTCATATAGTTTATTCAACTCATAGATATCGAGTTGACTGAATGAGTTTCGATTTCCGATCTGTACACTCTGTCTAGGTACGATGGTGTCCTGACCATTGACAGAAAAAGCATTACGAGGATAGTGCATAATAGATGCGTAATCGTATTCAGTTCCAAGACTGTCTAAGTTGTATTTTTCAAAATTGTATTCCATTCCTAAAATTAAGAAAAACAAAAATTCGCACAATTGTTACTAGAACATGATTTTTCGCGTCGTAATAATATACTGCGTTTAAAGGGGTTAGAGGGAGTGTGGATATTTAATCTCGGTTGTGTAACGTTAATGACAGAAAAAATCATGGTTTACCTCTTTGAATGTTCGCCCAGTATATTGTGACGTAGCTGTCCCTGTCGGTTCGAGTCTGTTCGTGGTGAAACCCTGCAGCGTGCATCATTTCGTGCATAATCGTACCCCGGGACCAAGTACAGCTGCCCCCAACGGAGAGTTCTTGCATACCGCCAGTACGACCGACAGCAGACCAGCATCTGTATGTGAATTAACATGTTTATGGACGTTAATCATTTTTAACATCCTGTTTCAACATTGTGACTTTGTTGCTCTACCATTCGATGGCTGATGTGTACTGCACATTATTTTCATGTATGATTCAACTCTGGTAGTATTCGTGTTACTATATCCAAGGTGCAATAATTTGTGAAAGGTATCCCAGTGCGTTTGAGCATGGCGAATTAGAATATAAATGCACATATTTTTAAAGAACAGCTTTGCATCTTGTATTAATTCGTACGTAAGTAACAATTTTTGTTTTAAAGGG